TTTCAGTTTTGAATGGTAATATCCCTTGATCTAAAAATAAACAAATTTGTAAGGGATATTTCCCTTACAATAATTAGCCAAAAATAGGACATCAAGTGGTGTATAAATTTCGTAAGCTTTGGCGCGAAGATTCAAATCGGCGAAGAAGCAAACTGTGCACTTGAGCCCATATTAACACTCCACGCGGTAAATTTGAATCGCTGAAAAAAAAAACTCTGAATCTAGTCGGCAGATTTCGAGGTAAGCAATTTTTCTTGGTCTTTCATAGCTTCTTTGAGGGTTTTTATGTAGACAATCAAAACGTAAACGCAGACGATCAAGGTCGGTCGCGTTAAATGTACATGCAGAGCGGCAACAGCAGAACAGAATCAAATCGTACAGAACATTGTCACCATATTTTGCTTCCACTTCGTCGAGTGAGAAAATCTAGGGTTAAACGCGCATTTTGCGGCCATTCTTTTTCCGTGATGAGTCGCTCAAAGCTATCAGTGTTGTACTAGAGTTTATTCAGATGATTCTATCCAGAATTATTTCTACAAAGTCAAATCGATGGTTTCACTGCCCTAATGTTTGTTCAGTTCAGAAATAACACTGTCAATTGCATTTCTCTTCCTTAGAGATCAAGGTTTTCTCTTCTTTTATCGAATTATGTATTCTAATTTTCCTTCTTGTTTATTTTTCTAACTGAAATATAACTCTGTCGACACAAAAGCTTTTGTTGTTGGATATTTCTCGGAAAGTTTTCGTTTTTGAACAGATGGCTGACAGAGTTTGCAACAAACTTATCTACGAAATGCCGTGGGAAAAGTACACGAATGTCAGTGAGATACCTCACCAAAAAGGCATATACGTGATAGGAGTCAATTGCACGATGAGCGGACAAAAGGCAATCAAATACCTTTATCTTGGCCAATCCAGAGACGTCCATGCGAGACTGAAACAACACAAATATGGCGATCAAGAAATTGACAAGTTCGTTAAGCTCAAATTTCGACGGAATGGCGGAAAAGATCTCTGCGTTAAGTGGATTAAAGAGCCTAAACACAAGGAGAAGGAGACTGTTTACATCAAATGCGTTGAGAATAAGCTAGGTTATAAATTGAAATACAACAGAATAGGTAGAGGCAACTAAAATATGATAAAGACATGTTTTAGAGAATCGATCGAGCAGTTTTTTTTAATCTTTTCAGTTTGTGAGCTTAGAAGTTACTCAGTCATCAGTTGTTAGTACACTTATGCTTGAGAGTAGAAATGATCGGCCATAAGTATCCACAAAACATGTAATTTTTAGTATTCATCTAAGTGGTACAGAAAGGACATTTTAAAGTATGTAAGTCGATCGGCATAAGTTATTCACGAAATACAAATAGCATTTGTTACAAAATAGTCCCGTTTCTTTATTACTCCTACTTTAAGTCTTTCGATAGCTCCATCAAAAATTAATATTGTGAGAACGAGCAAAGTTCCGATTCGTTATGGAATTGCTTCGCTCTTACAAAAGACCTTATATGACCACAACCATGTTTTTCCAGTTATCGAGACAATGCTAGACTGTATCACCGTGGATTACTGGATTTTGAGACCAAATGCGTCAGAGCATGGCTATTTTAATTTTTAAAAAAGTTTCTTCACCTTACGACACGCTCCTAATTAGTGCCGAGTTTTAAACAAGTTTCCCAAGTTCTCACCATCCTTGCGAGCCGGCGTTCGGTCTTTCTTCTTCTCTTCCTTCCCCTTCCAAGTTTCGTTCCCCTAAACTGCCAAGAAATGTATCTGATCCCTGACGGTTTTGTTAAAACGACACAGATTTCCTTCTTATTTCTCTGGCGAGGACTCTACAGTTTAAATGCATGTCAACTGTTACTTGGTAGGGTTGCTCGTGAAGCTCAAAGACACTGAAACAAAAATTAAGGAAAC